CCCTCACTCAATTCCAGACCCCTCACTCCACTCCAACCCCCTCCCTCCACTCCCACCCCCTCCCCACCGCTCCCTCTCCCCCTCACCTCACCGCCCGTCCCTTCCCCGCCCACCCCGGACCCCTGCAGCCCGCGGCCGCCTCTGCCGCCCTTCCCCTCCCTCCCCGGCCAGCCCTGGCCCCTCACCGCCCGCGGCCCGGCCCGCAGCAGCCGCGCGGGCACTCGGCTCCTCAAGGAGACTCCGACCGCGGCCGCCGCCATCTTGGCGCTGCGCAGTTCCGCCGCCGGGCCCGCCCCGCCGCCGCCGCCATGTCGCGGCGCTGGCGGGAAGGCGCGCCCGCCATTTCGGGTGTGGCGGCGCCCTCAGCGCGGCCGCCATCTTGGGTGTGGCGCTTTGCGCCCCCGCCTCAGGGGGGAAATTCCCCACATTGGAATTTGGGGCGCTTTTTTTTGCGCTTTTTTGGGCTTTCTCCATCTTTATACCCAACTTCAAGCCAGGCTGCTGCCAGCGGTGCTTCATTTTGAGGGCGTTTTGTGTGTTTAGGGTACTCGGGGACAGGCACAAGTGTGTCACCATCAACAACTGGGACATGGCAGAGTGGCGGGGCAGGACGCCTAAATTCCCCTTTTTCTTTCCTTATTCCCCATTTTCTTTCCTAATTTCCCTTTTTCTTTCCTAATTCCCCTTTTTCTCTCCTTGAAAAGAAAAAATACATTGAAAATTTTCTTTCTTTTTCTCTCCGTTAATGTGAAAAAACACCAATCACTTGCTTTTTAAAATTTTAAAAGTTTAATAATAATAAAGTGGTTATAAAAATAATAATACTATTAGAGTAATAAGGTTTAGAGTTAGGACAATTACAAGACAACAAAAAGCAAAGATGTCCGGATGGTCTCGGACACTAAGTCACAAAAAGCATAACTTGTGAACAAAGGAATGACCCTTGAACCAATACACTTGTTGCATATTCATAATCCTTCATGGTTATGCATACATTCTATTTAAAACAAGAAACTCTGTTGTATGTCAACTATTCTTTTAATCCCCATGGTGTCTTTGAGTCTGAGCAAGGCCTGAAGAAATTAGTTTTTTCTGATAAGAAGCCACAAATTCCTCTCCTTTGGAAGATTTAGGTGTTCCTCGAAGCAAGTATCTCATTGCTAAAAAATAAACTCCTCCTACATACATAGTCTCTATTTTAACATTATGTTGGAACTTAAAATTATATTTAACATGCTACTTAAGAGAATTAATACAGCAACACGTTCTAACATTACACATATAATATTCATTGTAATATTTGTGAAAAGTCAATCATAAAATATGCATTTTTCACATTGGGGAAAGACACCAAGCATGTCACCACCAACAATCAGGACACGGTGGAGTGACGGGGCGGGATGCCTAAATTTCCTTTTTCTTTTCTAAATTCCCCTTTTTCTTTTCTAAATTCCCCTTATTTTCTCTCCATTTATTTCCAGCATCATTATTTTGCACTGAGGTACCTGTGCTGCCATGCCCCTGTGTGAAAAATGCATATTTTATTATTGGCTTTTGGCAAATATTACAATGAATGCTATATGTGTAACGTTAGAAAGTTATGTTGTATTAATTCTTTTAAGTAGTGTGTTAAATATATTTTCGGGTTACAACATAATGTTAAAATAGAAACTCTGCGATATAAGATTTGTGACAAGCTCAAGCAAAGAAATGAGATAATCAAGAAACTCTTCACACAGAGATGTCAGCGAAGGGGGCCCATAAAAAGTTACAGCCTCCTTATCAGAAAAGACAAACATTCTTCCACCTTCTCTCCGTCTTTTTGGTACCAACAAGATTAAAAAGAAGTTGACAAAACCCAGAAAAGTTCCTAATTTGCAAAGAATTTATGCATCATGTGTGAATATACGAATATGCAAATAGCCATTACTTTTAAGGTTATTCCTTTGTTCACAAGATACGCTCTTAGTGACTTAGTGTTCAAGAGCATCCAGACGTCCGTAATTCTTTGCTTTTTATTGTCTTGTAATTGTCCTAACTCTAAATCTTATTACTCTAATTGTATTACTATTTTTATAACCATTTTATTATTATTAAACTTTGAAAATTTTAGAAACTAAGTGATTGGCATTTTTCACACCCCCTCAAGGGGACCTGCTGTGATATCAATGGGGCAAATGGTGGGTGCTGGGGAGCAATGAATCCCAGAGATATTAAGGTGGGATGTAATATATGATTTAGAATAAATTCATGCTCAGGACTAAAATACAGTATCCTGTTTAATGGAACCGAGTGATGGGAAAGAGCAACATACACAAGATGAATTCCAGTCTCAAAATATGGTTATTCTGAAGGATTATTCTGTCTAGAAGATATGCTTTGGACGATAAGATAAATATTCATTTCCAGAAAACGATGTTTGAGGGGGTTACCATCTAACAGGATTTCAGCAATCAGAGTATTCTGGGAAAACCTCTGTTTAGAGGCACCACAAGAAAAGAACGTGCATGAAAATGTGAAAAAGGACAAAAGGAAATAGGAGGACCCCTCCCTGTTTTATAGAAACAGTATTAAAAAACCCTGTGAAATCAGTACCCTGTGAACTGGTCCGGACCCAGTTCACCCAGCACCCATTGCCTGGCTCGGTGCTGATTTGCTTGTGGCTTTACTTTGATTTAATTTAATAAATTTCTTTCATTATTAAATCCTAGCATTCATTTATGGGAAAAGCCCTCCAAGGTCCCTCCAGGACCTTCAAGTCCAAGCTGTGACTGATCCCACCCTGTCCCCAGCCCAGAGCACTGAGTGCCACATCCAGCCTTTCCTTGGCCACCTCCAGGGATGGGCACTCCAAACCTCCCTGGGCAGCCAAACAAAATTCCCCCCCTGTTGGAAATTGTTAGAGATGCCCATTATATGATTGGCTTTTCGCAAATATTAAAATGAATACCGTCTGTGTAATGTTGGGAAGTTATGCTGCATTAATCTCTTTTAAGTAGTGTGGTAAATATAGTTTTTAGGGCATAGCATAATATTAAAATAGAAACTATGTGATGTAAGATACTTTTTGTAACTATCTTGAGGAATGGATAAGATAAAGAAGAAATTATTTGCATGCAGATAACAGCAACAAGACACCAAAATCCAGAGAATTATTGCCCATGTATGGGGACTGTTCAGACTTTTTCCAGATTTCTAGGAGCCAAGAAATTGGTTTACAAGATGAAGGGGGGGCAGAAACTAAGCAGAAGACATCCTTTGTTAGAAAAAATTAAATTTGAATCATGTATAAGACATATGAATATGCAACAGGCTATTGCTTTTAAGGGGTAATCCTTTGTTAGCAAGGTGTGCTTTTGTGGCTTAGTGCCCAAGAGCATCCGGACATCCGTAATTCTTTGCTTTTTATTGTCCTGTATTGTCCTAACTCCGATTGTCCAAATTCTTATTGCTCTAATTTTTACTACTCTTTTTATAACTATTTTATTACCATTAAACTTTTAACATTTAAAACAAGCAATTGGCGTTTTTCACGGAAATGACGCAACTTTCCTAATTAGTTTTTAATTAATTGTGATAATTACTTGTAAGCAGTGCCGACTTTTAGCTGGCACAAGTTAAAACTTCTTTACAGACTCTTACTTCCATTTTGATCATTAAATCACTGAAACCTTGAGTTTGTTAAAGCTGACCCTGACAAGTTTCAATAAAGCCAAAGGGAACTGAAGATTGGACATCTGAGATCTCAAATTTATGGTCCTTTAAGGACAGTAAGAAGAAGATACAGAGGAGATTGAGGCCTGAAAAGGATGATAAAAGAACTAAGGAATGTGGCCCAGCTTAGCACGAAGAGTAAGAAATCAATGGCCAATAGTGGACAGAATGCTAATCAATAAAAAGCATTATTAGAACCCGTGAACCTGATTTCTTTGTTAAAGATGTGTAGATAAATGAAAACATTTTGTATTGCCGTGGAGGCTGGAGCTCTGTCAGCCACACAGAGACCCTGGCTGAGTTTAAACAAAGCGACGCCTGCCTCGCCAACACCACAAAAACAGTGGTAGAGACAACTTTGGAGGATTTTGGCAACTCCCCCACCCCTGTGAGCGCTCTCTCTCTTTCCCTCCCAGTTATTCCCGATGGAATTATTAATGAATAATTAATTATTCATTATTAGGTTATTTAATCCCTCAGCTTTTTCCTCACAGCAAATTCATTTATTAAGGGAATCGCAAGCAACACACACTTGGGGTGAAGGTGGGGGGAGAAGAAGGAGGAAGAGGAGGAAGCAGATGAAGAGGAGGAAGAGGAAGAAGAGGAGGAAGAGGATGAAGAGGATGAAGAGGAGGAAGAGGAGGCCCAGCTACGGCGCGAAGTGCCACCACTGGAAGGCGAAGGGCCGGCGCTGGACGCAGGTGCCGCAGCGCACCTCGCCCAGGCTGCCGTGGTAGGAGGCCACGTCCTCCAGGAAGCGGCAGCGCAGCCCCAGCGGCTCCAGCAGCGCGCGGATCCGGCGCTCCAGGCAGCACTCGCCGCCCGCCACCGGGCCGAACGGCTTGGGGATGCCCAGGTCCTTGGCCAG